ATTTATCGCTAACGACGCGCTTTATGAGTTCCTGTTTTTTGAGATTTGATGCTTATCAGGGTTGTAATGCAAATACATGGACAAGGTCCTCAGCTGTTCCATGAGTCAGTTTTTGAATACAAATTTCAAAGTAAATCAASTAACAAAGAGTCAACGCCAAGAGGACGGCARCTTACATATTGAAGTTCAGACGAGAAACACTAACAAGTAAAAACGTCCATTATTGTGGCAATTTTTCGTTGATATATGAGACTCGTACGACTCGAAATACATGACATTTTAGGATTACAGGATTATATAACAACTATCTGTTATAAATAAATAATAAACCTTGGTGAAGGATTAATTTAACCGAAATACCGACTATGGTATTGAGACACTAGCAAAACGACGAGAAAATGTTGTTTTTTTACATGTTTTTTTACCTCAGTGAAGATTGTGAATAACCTTTATTAATTATAAGTTACCTTAATCACTATTATTGTTGATATTTCTAATACATAGGGTTGATTTAAAAATGCAGGCTTACATGATTTTTTTTTCATTTAGTGTTCATTTTTGRTATTTTCCTGGCCCTCTGTATGTAGTATYACTATTSGCGTATCTATTGCGAACATTTTACAAAGTACAATGTATTATTCAATTAATACTAGCTATACATGGGATGCGAAGACCAACATATTTTGGCTGCATATGCKTTTACACTCTTCTGTTCCCATAGGAATATATCAATCACTTATATGRACTCGAAGGCAAATTTTAGTTGAATTTACTCAAATCCTGAATATTACGATTAATGTTTGCTTTTGGCATTATAATACGTAGACGTCGTTTTCAGCATCTCTATTATTATTGTTATCGTTAATGTTATTATTGTTTCTTCGAATAGATCGCAACAATTGAAGAGCAGCATTTCGCATGTCTGGTATTCTCCAGAAATATATGATTGGATTGATACTGCTATTCATGCAGAGAATGGTAAAAACTACGTTCGATACTRCCTGCCAGACAAAGKCAATTTTCGACAATGAAAAGTATGCAATAATTCTAAAGCAAATACATGGGAAATAACACAGGAAAAATGTTCCCAGTATAAAATACATCATATTCACAGATCTCTTAATGTTCCCTGCTGCACCAGGCTGTGCGTTCATCGCCTGCTGTTGAACTTGAATCTGCAATGAATGTCAATGTTCAACTCAAAGTTGTCCAGCTTAAAGAAAGAAGGTCATACAAGAAACACAAAAAAGTAAAACATCAATTATTGTTTGCATGCCGTAACGATGGGCGTCGCATGCAATTTTTCGTT